TAACCATAAGCTCACAAGTGGCATCAGCCATCGCCCTGTACTCGGCTTCAGTATTACCTCTGGTAACAACACATTGCTTTCAAGATTTCCAAGTGATCAAAGAAGTGCTAGAAACGCGCAATACCCAGGGACAGAGCGTCGCGTGTCAAAGCAAGCGGCCAATCTGCATCTACAAAAGCGTTGAGGAACAAATCCGTTGTTGCAGAATAGAAAAGGCCCTTACCAGGAATGGATTTCAAGTACCGCACGAACTTGTGTGCAGCAAGAATACGGAGACCATCAGGCTTGGACAAATATTAACTCAATTTGTAAACCGCAAAGGTGATGTCAAGCCTAGTGATCGTAAGGTAAAGCAACTTCCCAACAAAATCGTGATAGACAGTAGGATTTGTAAGAGGAATACCAATTTTGGAACTGTGATGCAATGTCACATCCATAGGAACAATACTCGACTCGGCTTGCAACCCAAAAGACCAGGCTCCTCCAAGAGTCTGAGAGCATACATGCAGTTCCAAAGCAAAATCCCTTGTGAAGAACGAGCAATAATGATGAGGGCCAAGATCCTTAATCTGAAACTGATTCTGTAGAACCTGTTTGACAGCAGCTACTTCAGAATCATCGTTGCTGGCAATTGAAATATCATCAACATAGACAAGCAATTCGATGAAGAAAGCAGTAGAGACTTTGAGGAAAAGGGTTTTTTCTGCAGTAGAGTGAAGAAAGCCATCTCCGAGAAGAACATAAGAAAGATGATGGTGCCATGACGAGAGGCCTGCTTTAGACCATACAGAGATTTGCAAAGCTGCAAAACAGGTCTGTCAGGGAAACTCGTACCAGCAGGTGGAGTATAACCATGAGGTAGAACCATGTAGATCTCTTCATCCAAAGTACCATTCAGAAAGCTATTATAAACATCAAGTTGTGTTAGGCTCCAACCATGTTTAGCATCTAAACCTAACAACAACTTAGCCGGGACAAGCTTAGCAACATGTGAGAAAGTATCGATGTAATCAATACCTTCTTGATGGGTAAAGCCCTTTGCAACGAGTCTCGCTTTGTAACGATCAAGAGAACCATCAATTGTATTTGATCTTAAAAACCTACTTACAGACAATGGCATGTTTTTCTTTTGGCAAAGACTCAACAGTCCAAATCAGATTGGGTTCAAGAGCCCCAAACTCCTCATTCATAGCATTATTCCAAAAAATGGATTTGATGGCTTGCACAAAATATCTTGGTTATGTATCAGTGGTGATGGAGAGGATAAAAGATTTAAAGGGAGGGGAGAGATGATCATAGGAAAGGACATAAGAAATAGGATAAATAATATAAGGAGAGGGATCAGGGGGAGTTGCATGTGTGAGGGAACAATGATAGTCAAAGAGATAGGTAGGGGCATTAGCTGTACGTTTAGGCGTAGCAACATTCAGAGCATTCAATGCAGTTGAGCCATCAACAATATCAGCCAAGGTGGGGAGAGGAATGACATGCGTGGAAGATGATGAAGATGCAAGAGATGAATGAGGTGCACGAGGTGGAGGAGGTACAGGAGATGAATAAGATGCATGAGGTGGAGAAGGTGAATGAGATGGAGAATGTGAAGGAGGTACATGAGGTGGTTGAGGGACATGAGATGATTGAGATGCAGTGGATACATGGGGAACTGATGTAGTGGGTTGTGGATGCAATGGTGATGAAGGAGCATGAGCAGGGATAGATGAGTGAGAATGATCAGGAGCATCATGAATGGTTATGTAGGGAAGAGACAATGGGAGAATAGATAAAGGGAATAAATCATGTGCAAGCGAGGGATATAAATTCTCAACTTTGAAAGGAAACATAGTTTCATGAAACACCACATTCCTTGTGATGGAGATGACATTGGTTTCAAGATCTAAGACTTTATATCCCTTGTAACCCAATGAGTATCCTAAAAACACAGATGGCTTTGCTCGGGGAGAAAACTTGGTACGAAACTTAGGATAAGTAGAAACATAACATAGACAACCAAAAACCCTTAAGAGACTATAATGAGTTTCCTTCTTAACTAGTTTCTCATATGGTGACATGTCATTAAACAGAGGCGAAAGAAGTCTATTGATTAAGAAAGCAGCAGTTTGGACGCAGTCGCCCCAAAAAGAAACAGGCACTTTAGACTGGAAAAACAGAGCTCTAGCCATAATTAACAAATGTTGATGCTTACGTTCAACCACAGAATTTTGATGGGGAGTATCAACACAAGAGAAATAATGCATCATGCCCTTTTCTTTTAAAAGATCAGAAAACTTATGTTCAGGAGTATTATCAGATCTAATAGCTTTGACACAAGAACCATATTGCGTTTCAACAAGTTTTAAGAAAGTAGGAAAAACAATCTGAACCAAACTCTTAGATTTTAACAAGTAAATCCAGGTTACACAAGTGGAATCATCGACAATAGTAAGAAAATAACAAAAACCTTCTATAGTTTCAATAGCAAAAAGACCCCAAACATCAAGATGAACAAGGTCAAAAGCATTGTCATCTACATTATTATGTGAAACATAAGGGAGTCTACATTGTTTAGCTAAAGGACAAATAGGAAAATGCGAAGAAAAATAACCTGATTTTGGTAAAGAATGCTTAGACGCGAAACTTTGTAACTTGGCTAAGGAAGGATGCCCAAGGTGATGGTGCTAAAGATTACCATCTGCAACAAAGGATCCACAGAAGGACACAAATGAAAAAGACGAAGCAAGATCAGTTTTCATGAACACATATAGATTGTGTATGACACTACACTTCCCAATCATCGAGCCCAGAGAAAGGTCCTGAATAACACAAGAATCAGGGTATAAATGAGAAAAGCCTATGTTAAACTTGAGTAAAGAACTGACACTAAGAAGATTAAAACGAAAATTTTAAATATGCAAAACATCATGCAATGTTAAAGTATCAAATAAACGGACAATGCTCATATGCATGATGTGAATGCGATCACAATTTAGAGATATTGTTAATTGCTCAACCACTTTAAAGTCAACGAATATTGAGAAGAAGTCTGAACAAGCATGACTAGTGGCACCACTATCCACTATCCAAGCATCCGAGGGAATAAGAGTGGAAAAAAAAGCAAAGGCAATGATTTCGGTAGGTGAGTTGATTGTTTTCGAATTAAAGTTTAGGTGAAGGAAAACATACAGTACATGCAATCACAATATAAGTCATCACTCCATGTTCAGTAATAGTAGGCAGTTACTGAGAAGTTGAGGACTCCTTGAGATGAACATGCGCACTAAGATGAGAAATCAACTGTTGAACTTGGTCAGAAGAAAAATTGCTTAGATCCAGAGTGTTAGGCATCGAGCCAAGGAGCGAAGGAACAGCATCAATGACCACATTAGCAACAATATTCTCCTTATCGTAAGAGGGTGAAGGATGCTGGTACTGAGCAGTACTCTTCTGAGCTTAAGCATGAGTTGTAGACGGCTTGGATCTTTCATAACCCGGTGGATAACTGTGAAGCTTGTAGCACTTGTTGACAACATGACCAGTCATTCCACAATGAGTGAAAACAGGACGAGGTCAAGCTTTGTAATTGGGATAAGCCGCAAATTGCTCATCCTCATACGGAGTTGATGAACCAGAAGCTTGAAAAACAACATTCTCCACATAAGTGACAAGCCTGAGGATCTGCTGCCTTTCATCTTAACAAACCATGTTGAAAAATTCTTCGATATATCATCAGGACCTGACGTTTAGTAGCATCATAGGCTTCATTAAGGCCCATCAAGAACTTTATAGCACGGCTTCTGTCCAACATCAGCTTCCGGTTTCTAGCAGCATCACATTCACACTTTCCACAAGTGCAGATCGAAACTTCAACAAAATTAGTGCACATTTCCCACAACGTCACTAATTCAGTATAATATGCTAACATCGCAAGCTCTCTAACTGACAAGGCACAATATCTGTTCAATTTCAAAGATACGTGCAAGATCATCTTGCATAAAACGATTCATTAAGCGATTCCAGATTTGTTCAGCAGTCGACACTTAAATAATACTACCACTAATTGATTTCGAAACAGAATTCAAACACCACGTCGCAACCATGTTGTTACAGCGCGACCAAGATCCAGCAGTATAATGATTATCCGGAGGTTTAGGAATCGTACCATTGATAAAGCCCATCTTATTACACACGTTAAGAGCAACATGCACGGATCGCCGCTAAGAACTGATATTGGTGCTGGAGGCGAGGCATTCGGAAACCATAACAATTCCGACATGATCACTGCTGTAAAGGTAAAATGGATTCTCGTAGAGGTCTAATAGAAGCTCGATTTAGCTCAGGATTCAAACGGATTTGATTGGAATTGACACGAATTGAAGAAAAAAAATCAAAGACGAAAGAAAGAGACAACGAAAATAAAAATCGTTCCAATCGATTTGATTAGAAAACAGAAAAGAGAGATAAGGAAGTCACGAATCAACACAGATTCTGATATGTTCATGATGAAATCAATTAGAATCAAGCCGAAAAGGAAAAGAAATCGCGGAATATGCTTTGCTCTGATACCATATCAGGACTTGAATCTGTTAGGATGAGAGAGAGTGAAAGAGAGAGAAACTGAATATTGAAAATGAATAATATTCTCATAAATTGACTAAATATATCGTCACAATGTTATTTATATAAGCATACTATGAAACTAACAGCTAGTCTAACAATTAATTTGTCGAACTTCCATCTTATCCTCGGTTTTACCTCATCATCAACTGCATGTTCAGTCCATAGAATGTGAACTTACTAAACCCAAACACAAACTCAATGCTTCATGGGTTTTTAACTAAATTTGACCACTTTTAATGACAAACATAATTTGAATACCTTATTGAATTTAATGAGTTTAGTCAAAATTTAAATAGTAACAAGATAGTCTGCCAAAATATGGTAAGTTAGTTAACTATAGTGAAATAACTAATTTTTGTCTAGTTGAACAGCCTATTGTAATATAATAATAATTAAAAAAAAGACTTGGAAAGAATAACGCAAATTATTTGAAAGTCAAACTAGTTAATTAGAAGAAATTTATTGGTGTTTATTACTGCTAAAACAAAACTAATTTCTATCATTATCAACCTTACTATCTTATTATAAAAAAAAACATAAAAGGGCTGATAACCAAAAAAAAAAGATCGCTAATGAGTTTATCACATCGCCAATGTGTCTCATTTTTTTTCTTTATTCCAATCTCACTCAGCCAACCAGCAACTTCTTCTTCTCCTTTTGGTTTTATTTCATGCTATGAAACTTTCCACTGGTTATATAATCTCTTAAGCAAGAAAAATGTAATCAAAACGAATGATATTAATTAATCTAAATCAAAACGATCTCCTTTTTCTTTTTGATCTTTCTGAAACCATTTTCTCCAAGTTTTTTTTTCGAATTGTCGTCATACGTCTTCTCTTGAAATGTCATTGTAGTTTGGCTTAGACGGTGTAGTGTTGGTTAAGATTGTCAATATCAAGGCCTTTAAGCTTTACAACTGATTCAACGTGGCCCTTAAGGGTGTGCACTTCTCGTAGCCTGCATGCACCACAAGACAAGCCACAACTCTCACCAATGAACTTAAAATAATGTTTACATATGGATCTTTGTAGTGATCATTTACATACCTGGCAACTTCTGCACGTTTTTTAGCTTGTTCAGCGATCTCAGAGAGCTCAGTGTAGGTTGCCGTATCTTCGAACATTGACTCGGGTGGTTTAAGTCCATGGAGTGTACGTTGAGCCAGAGCCCACTGGGCCTCTCTTTCTCCCCTTCCGTAGTCTTTCTTGGTTGTGAATGCGGTCTTAGAATAAAAACGGCAATAATGTTAATATAATACATATAATATTAAGAATTAAGATTACATACATACCCTATTTTCGATCATGTTATTCCAAGCTTTGCCACTAAGGGTGTAACGGGTGATAAACTTGAGGATGTCAAGAGGAATGTATGTGATGAGACTGTAAATCCAGATGACTCCACACCATCCCCATCCGCACCCTTTGATTCTCGCAAATTCCCAATGTGCTAAAGCTGCTATCAAGGTTGCAACCTGTTTTTTTTTTAAAGGAGAAAATTAGAAGAGTTTGGCAAAAAAAAAAAAAGTAAAATCTATAATAACTATATAAAACACATATATGGATCCAAATGTATGTCTTTAACAGTACGGTCTATATACATAAATTGTAATGTAAAGTTCCAAACAGATACCAGTTGGGCAACGAGGAAAGCAATGAGAAGAAGAAATCCAGGACGTTCCACGAAAGACCAACTCCTTGATCGTGTGACAAAGATGAGAGCTTGGCTAATTATACTGACTTGCAAATACAAAACTGCTATTAGCTCCTCGTTTTTGCCTTGTAATGATCTTACTCCAAATTTATCCTACATATCAACACCAAGATGATTAAAAATAATATATTGTTTTATCTGACAGAGAAAACACATACCTAATCCATACTAATCCCTAGATCTTATTGAGCGTTGAGGATTATTACTATTCAAAACCTTCATAATGGCTAATCATGACTAAAATTAGAGTGAGAGTGAAATAAATATATATTGAGCAGTTGTAATGTATGTACTACCGGAAAGAAATCAGTGTCATGAGCTAGCCAGAAGAAGACAACAGTAATGAGAGCCATGTACGTTCCAAGAACAACTCCAGTAGCAAAGATCTCTTTAAGCTTCCATGAATCAGGGATTGGCGAAGGTTTGACTCTGTCTTTTGAAATGGTCATGATCGTCCCATCGTTCAAGATTGCGATAATAAGGACCATAAAGGGAGAAAAGTCAAACTCCCAAATGAGAGCTACAAGCATGAAGCCTAGGACTATACGGATGGTGATGGAAACAGCATATATTGTGTAATTTTTCATTCGTTGAAAGATAGCTCGGCTGGTGAGCACCGCGCTAATTATGACACTAAGACCTGGCTCGGTCAAGACTATATCTGAAGCGCTTCTTGCCGCATCAGTTGCATCATCCACTGCTATACCGATGTCAGCTTTTTTTAGCGCTGGAGCATCGTTCACACCATCCCCAGTCATACCAACGATATGTTTCTTGTCTTGGAGTCTCTTTACAATCTCGTACTTGTGCTCTATACAAGATCAAACAACTTTAGAATCTGATTGCTTGGAAAGAAAGGTAAATGAAATAGATCGGAGGGTTAATTACCAGGAAAGACTCCAGCAAATCCATCAGCCTTCTCAATGAGCTCATCGACCGGAACTCCACCGGTGGTGTCATCTTTGTTTTCGAGTAAAGATGAGGAAGGATACATGTTAGTTCCCATTCCAAGCCTGCGACCAGTTTCTTTACCAATCGCCAATTGGTCTCCGGTGATCATCTTAACATTTACACCAAGATCAAGGGCTCGTCTAATGGTCTCTGCACTATCATGTCTTGGAGGGTCAAAGAGTGGCAAAAGACCAACAAACTCCCATGGCGTCCCTGCGCTTTCTTTGTCCTTCTCAGGAACCTTCTGACGTGCTATCCCGAGTGAACGAAGGCCACGCTCAGCAAACTTATCAATGATGTCATCTGCTCGTTTCTTCGTCTCTCCTTTGAGTTCACATAGAGTAATAATTTGTTCAGGAGCACCTTTGCTGCTTCTATGCCATTCTCCATTGCTATCAATGTATGTGATCGCTGTTCTTTTTTCTACTGGATTGAATGGCAAGAAATGCACTTCAGTTATTCCAGCTCTTGCTTCTTTTGGATCACCTAGCATATTAACAATGCACGCATCAATAGCATCTTGATTCTCTGTTCTTGAAGCCCTAGCTGAAAGTAATATCACAGTATCCTTGTCTACGTTTTTAGGGAAAACCTGATAAAAAAACAAGATTTTTAACTTTCTGAATATACAAAAACAAAATTGACGGGCATAAGTTTTTCATCAAACCTCAATCAAGTTTTTATCAACCGTAAGTTTGTTGAGCGTAAGAGTTCCAGTTTTGTCGCTGCAAAGAACATCCATGCCAGCCATTTCTTCAATCGCAGTCATTCTTTTTGTGATAGCACCTTGCTCGGACAACCTGTGGGATCCAATCGCCATTGTCACGGATAACACAGTGGGCATCGCAATTGGGATTCCTCCAATGAGAAGCACAAGAAGGTTGTCGATTCCATCTCTATACTTCCTATGCTGGATCGGATACATTACAATTATCTCAATCAACATTCCTATTCCAATTGAGCATATGCAGAAATTACCAATCGCGGTTAGGACCTGGAACAGAAGCAACATATTAGTATTAGTTCAAAGGATTGCTTACACAAGGTAAACAGTAAGAAAAAGTCATACCTTTTGGAAATGGCCAACGTTGTTAGTGCTGTCAACAAGGTGTGCTGCCTTGCCAAAGAAAGTATGCACACCAGTGGCAATGACAACAGCCTCGATCTCACCTTGTTTACAAGTCGAACCAGAGAATACTTCATCTCCAGGATATTTAGTGGCGGGAAGAGATTCACCAGTAAGGGCAGATTGGTCGATCTTAAGAGGATCACCTTCCAGAAGACGAGCGTCCGCAGGGACAATATCACCCAGCTTGATGCTGATTAAATCACCTGGCACCAGAACTGCAGCTTCTTGTTCTCCCCACTTCCCATCTCTTAAGACCCTTGTTTTAGGGGCAAGATTAGCCATTAGAGCAGCAGCTGCATTACCTGCGTTGTTCTCCTCAAAAAAACTGATAGTCGAGTTTATTATAAGCAAACACGTGATTCCAACAAAGTCTTGCCAATCTGGTGGTCTTCCATCACCGTTTGCCAAGACAATCGCCATGATTGCTGCCGCTTCCATGACCCATGAAAGAGGATTCCACATAAACCCTAAAAACTTTAAGATTTTGTTTTCTTCTTTTTCTTCGAGTTTGTTTGCCCCAAATATTTGCAGTCTATTTCTGCCTTCCTCTGATGATAGACCCTCCCTTGAACATTTTAGCTGTTGAAACACTTCTTCCACCGGAATCTTTTCCTGTCATACATAAATTTTTACATTTATATTTAGATAAATTTGTTGAAAATCAGCCAAAGAAAAAAAAAAAAAAAAACACTAACAAGATCAACATGCTCCTTTTTTATTTCATCCCATGAAATATCAGCAGCCATAGTGGCTCAGTATTTTTTTTATCACCACACTCAGTATCTTTAAACCCAGAGAACAATCATAAAACAAATATAACTCTCTTTATTCTATTTCGAGCTGCTCTCAAGATCTAGAAAGAGTAAAAGATACAAGTGAGGGCTTTTTTTCTTTAGTTTTGTGATGCTGTGTTAAAATCTAGAAGTGGTATATATACACTTACCTAGGTGATTTGTGTGTTTTTCTTGTTTGTGGGTTGTGGCCGACCTTATTCTGAGGTGCCTTGACAATGTGTTTGTCCATTTTGAACTGTTTTCATGCCTTTTCTTTTGCATTCTTTTATTGTTTCATTTTACCGAAAAAGAAATGGAAAATATAGATTTAGTTGCCTTTCCACAAATAGAAAACTGACATTCATTAACTGTAATTCATAACATCTTTAACAATTATTTATCTTAAAGTTATTTTAAAAGGTTGTCCAGCCATCTAGCCATATTGTGTGGGCCACACTCATGAGAATTTAACAATATTTATAATATATCAAATTCAATAACCAAAAATAGTGTTTTTCGTCTTTTTACTATTCCAATTATAAACTAGAAATTTATATTGTTTATACTAAAATTAGTAGTTGGTCCGCGCATCAAGCGTGCGTTTTTGTTATGGTTAATAATTCCTTGATTTTTTTTTATTTCATAATATATGTTCTTGATTTGTCAGTTTAAATTCTTACTAGATTTTGGATTTGTGCATATGCATGGATGTTTTTTATTTTAACTCATTCCAAAAATTTGTTTATAATTAATTTGTCATTACTAACATTCTGGGCCAGTTGAGCAAATTGTTTAATGTTGAAGTTCAAACAAAAATATTGTGTCTAACAGGTTTTATATCATCACAAGAAGCAAATAGATCATAGCTCATCACCATCATCATCATCTACAGATATCAGCTTCACAAAAGTGGCTTTCTTTCTTATTGGATCACCTTTTGGACTGTTATTCTCCTATCTTTGAGCTCTTGGAGAGTTCTAGCCAAGATTATCTATCATCATTCGATATACTGTCTCAGATTATTAATCTGTGATTTAACTGAAGATTCAAAAAACTAATGCATATGATTCCGCATAAAATAGGAGAATACTTATATTTAGTCGGGTTATGAAAAAAAATTGTGTCTAGCGGGTTTTATATCATCACAGAAAGCAAAAATATCATCGCTCATCATCATTATCACCATCCACGGATATCAGCTTCACAAAGGTCGCTTGCGTTCTCATTAGATCACGTTTTGAACTGTTATTCTCCTATCTTAGAGCTTTTGGGGAGTTTTAGACGGGATTATCTATGATCATACGAACCAAAAAATTCATGCATGTGATTTCGAATATAGTATGAAGAAAACTTCTATATATCGGGTTATAACAGATTTGTCTTAAATAAATAACATTAACGATATTGATTTGTTCATGGTTGAGATCATGTGAAAACCCGTTTTCTCATGTTTTAGTTTTCAGTAAATATTTTTGTAAATTCTTTTAAGGAAAAACTAAAGCACTATGCTTAGAAAAACAAAAAGAACTGAAAAACAAATCAAATCCACTGTTATTGGGAATATTTTAATAATGGATTTTAAAAAATATTGAGTACTTTTCCATGATTTTGTAGAGTTTGTTAGTTAAAAATATATGGAACCAAATACCATTATCTTATGTGACATTTCATATAATTTTAATATCAAATCATATCAACTTCCCTAATCCACATAATATCATCTAAAATTTCATTAAAACTCAAATATTCTCTAAACTTTTAGGGGGTATATTGAATTGATGATTTGAGATAATTTAGAATTCACCTAAATTTGAAGGAATTTTAAAGAGATTTGAGATTTGAGAGAATTTTACAATGTTATTTTTATAAATTTTGAAGATGATTAGAAAGGATTTGAGAATATTTGAAATTTTTTTTTTTCAATTTTGTTCTTTTTTTAAAAGTTTTGAACGGTTAGAAAATTTTTGAGTGAGAAGAGCTGCTTCGTTTGAATAGTTTAGGCTCTGGCTCTGGCCTTCTCAGCACCACTAGTAGCTTAGCAAACTGATCATCTTCAGTTTATCCCTCAGCCATTACCCAAAAGACAGGCGCAGGAGGGGAAACACTTGTTAAGATTGGACGCTCTAAGACATACACACCAATGGCTAACGATGTTGGCCATGTTCTGAAGTTTGAGTGTGTAATGGCCAATGCCGAGATGAAACAGAATGTGGGACATTCTTGTACGATATTGACTTCCCGTGTTATTCATTGTACGTACAATGACTTTGATCAAACATATAATTCTATCAAAGTTTCTTGCAAACCTCCTCACAAATCACATAATGCAAAAAGAAAAATCGATCAAGAATTAAATAATCTCAATGTTTCTTGCTATATAAGAAAAATTTCCAGTGATTATAAGAAAAAGCTTAAAATAGGAAATTTCAAAATACTTAACTTAAGCAAGTTCAGCTTTATTATGGCAAAAAAATGTTTTGTTTGAAGATGATATCCTGCCAATGTCAAAAATCATTTCATAAAACAAACGTATCTCATAATTATTGTCAACCGTAGAAAGAAAAACAGAGAACAAAAGGTAACTTACTTCTTACAAATTTCATCGTTGAGATCCACTAATGATAGTATCATTCCACATGTCTGTAACAATTGTTGCTCTCCATTCATTAGCATGTTCTCTTTGTTGTTCTTGTGTGCCAAGGAGTTGATGACCAGCACTACTTTATTGGGAAAGACTTTGTTCTCTTTGTTGTTCAATACACCCCCTATATGTACATGAGCCAAATTGTATATGTGTAGCTTAAAGATATCTAGGTTTCTAGTATTTAGTAAATCTCGCTTGTCTAAAAGTTATTGTCCAGAGTAAAACAAGTTTGAGAGAGAAATGAGCAGCGCTAGGGTTAGGGCGATTCCAGATCTGGAACTCAATTATACTTTGAACGATAGATCTTGATAATAGGATTCAATCATCGTAATAGCTGTCCGGGCACGTAACCTCTCGGATAGGTAACCTCGAAAAAGGGTTATCACCAGATTTCCGTCTAACAGCTAAGAGAGAGACAATTTGGTTGGGGAATTTCTAGCATATTGCTACTGGATCTGTTTTTCTACTCTCTCTTGAGATCTTTCTAGCAGCGTTCGGTGCCGTTATTGTCTCTAGCTCTGTGCTAAGTCTACGGTGGTGTGAATTGGTGGTGGTGCTAAGGAGATCTCTAAGTCCCTAATCAGTAAACAAGATTAACGGCAGATCTCGGAAGTCGGCACTCTCCTACCAGCTCTCAATCAAAGTTAACTGTTTCGCGACCCCTATTTCTTTGTGACGGCGTTCGGAGAGGTGTTTTCCCTGGATCTTTGGGTAATGTTTAGTGTTATCTTTGTTGAGATTTAAGATGGGAGGCCTAGTCAGAAATAAAAGTTTTGGTGGTTGCGGTGAATGCGTTTTGGTTTGTGAAAGTTCTGAATAACAATCTCTAGCTATTGCTACGTAAAGGACAGTTTTGGTTTTGGCGAAACCAATCTCTAGTCATCGTACTACGTGTTGATTGGATTTCATGAGTGCAACGGTAAAAGCTTTTTGTGTCATTTATCCGGTGTTCTAGAGAAAGAAAAATGACAATGCGATCTCAAGCGATTTCAGAAAAGGGGAATTCGTCTCAAACAAGGCGATGCCTCGACTTTGGAGGATGATGACATAATAAAGATATCGGCTTGCAATTTTGAAGTGGTGTCTGAACATTTTAAGAAGACGCTCATCGGTAGGATGCTGTACCGAAAAGGTAGAAGTACCAAAGACTTGCTGGCACAATTTGTAACGCCCACGACTGCCCATTTCGGCGAGTCACCCATCCCTCCGTCGGGCTCGTGAGCCCCGCCCCTGTCCGACGGCCAGTGCGTTATTTTTCCCGGACCCCAACCGACATATTTACTGACCCTGCAATCACCACATGATCTTTCCCCATGTTTTGACCTCATTTACACGGTTTCGGGAATCACCCATCCTAGTCTTTCTCCAGCATAAGCACCCTTAACTGTGGAGTTCTCTTGGGACCAGTGACCGAAAAGATAAGTGCACTTTGATGACATAGGTAGCCAAATTAATCCATTTAAACTTATTCAAATGGGCCGGGTCCGGGTCGTTACACAATTGTCGAGAGCTAGAATATGGGATATAGAGGGAAGAGTCAAAGGAATGAACCTAGGCAATGGACGACTTCAATTCAATTTTGAAAAGGAAGAAGATATGGAGAAGGTGATAGACAAACATATGTGCCACTTTAATCGATGGAGTTTTGCTTCAGAGAACTGGAAACCCTCTACGAGTGAGAATACCATGCCATTTTGGATAGGAGTGATGGGTGTACCGATTCATTTTTGGAATAACGCAACATTTAAGGCGATAGGTAAAGCTCTAGGAAAAGTCCAAGCAATATTGGCAATAGAGCAGCCTAGAAATGACAACATTCCACGTAATCATGAGTATAAACGTCAGTATACCAAACATGGGTATGAACCACGTCTGTGGAGGGGAGATGGAGATGGCTGGGAAAAAGTATGGAGACAAAAAGGGGTTGAGAAAAAGGATACATAGTTGTCTCATAGATCTACTCGCGGGGAATTTTTTCTGACTACGGAGTCCTCAAAAGCAGTGTTTGATTTCCAAAGGATGATCTCAAATCAAATCTCAGGGCTAAATATTCACGAAAAGCAGAAATCATGAGTCTTAGTTGTCCACTCAGATGAAACAAAGGAGGATAAAGTCAGACGTTTGAAAGGTAAAGCTCATATGGTCGCTCGAGAGAGCCCTAGGAAGAAGATGGTGCAGTATGGGTAGTTAAAGAAAATAGGTACTTTGGTTATTAGCGACACAGGGGTACAAGACACGCCCACCTCGGGAAGAGAGCCTTCATCCAAAGAACGCAATCCGGAAATTAAGGATCAAATGGAGGTGGATGAGAACTCCGAATCTGATACTT